GCTATTTTTTGGTTGCAGCCATCATTGTTGTTTGGCGGGTCCGGGCTGGGGATTCGAACCTGCCACCTTAGGTGTACATGGCTGGCGCCTTAGCCGGTTGAGCTATAGGCACCTAGCCGAAAGAAAATTATTAAACATTCATGCTGACTTACAGTATTTGAAAGAGAAAAATTTAGGTTAAAAATTCATATATAACCCAGATTATTTCATTTGACTTAAAAACAAACCATGGTATATATTTCTTTGTATTATAATCTAAAGATTGTTTCTGTAATTTTTTAAAAAACTTTTGTGAAATTCCTTTAATCTAGTTTATATTAAAAAAATTTTAAGGAAATTTAACCAAATTATATTTCACTTTTTTTCTTTTTTTGAGAGAATCTCTCTCTGTTGCTCAGGGTAGAGGGCTGTGGCATTAGCTTAGCTCACAGCAACCCCAATGTCCAGGACTCAAGTGATCTTCCTGCCTCAGCCTCCAGAACAGATGGCAACACTGGTGCCCACCACACTGCCCACCAGGCTAATTTTTCTATTTTTAGTAGATATAGGGTCTTGTACTTGTTCAGAGCAGTTTTGATCTCCTGTGCTTAAGTCTTCCCCCTACCTCTGCCTCCCAGAGTGCTAGGATTACAGGTGTGAGCCTCCACACACTGTACAATGTAACTTCTGGAGCAACCAAGAAAGGAATGAAGTGTGTGATTAACATGGTTTCTCCTAACCAAGTTGAGTGATTTCAGGAGAAAATTCTGTTACCTTAAAAACTCAAACTGCACTGTGTGATATTTGAATACTAACACCTTTTGTGCTTCTGTCTTCCCTCTTCCCATTCTGCTCATCTGGTTGGCTAACAGCAATGCCGAGTGCTCCCTCCTTTGGCACCAGCTGTAGCTTTATACCACATACAAGTGGATACTCCACCTCCACCCCATCCTTAAAATTCATAACACCCACACATGCCACTTGCTCTCAAGCTATATAGGTACCAGCTGGTGGGGAGGACTAGTCTGCTTTCCTCAGAAACCTCACTGTGCAATACAAATCCTCACACCTCTTTTGTGTACAGCATTGCACACCAAAGGTTAACTGCATGTAAATAAGAAGGATCCAGGGAATGAAAAATGTAACCTCGGGACAGTATTACAGAAGTGAATATAGGTGGCTCTTCATTCATCTAGGAAAACAAAGTCACTTTTCTAGTGCTTTTTTTTTTTTTTT